GTGTGTGTGTGTGTGTGTGTGTGCAAGACTTGTGAGTGTTGGGATGAGAATGGTTCCTAGGGCAAAGTTTATATTTTCTTGATTCTATTAATGTAATTATTCTATCAGTGAATCTGCTGGAAGCCAAAGTACTGACTTGAGCTGATGGATAGAGAGAACAGTGTAGGGAGGAGTGGCACCGGATTCAGAAAACATGTGCACACATGTAGCTACAGGCTGTGATGCTAAGAGTGAGCTTGAGTTCCCGCTCCTTCAGGTGGCAGTGGACTGTGCTGAGAGCGGCTGGGCTGTCACTTTTAATAAGTGCATGCAGTGTAAACAAACTTTTATTTTGTAGCAGTGTACTGCTCTGAGTATGAGACAGTGAAGCAAAGACCAAACCAACAGCTCAGGTTTGACCTCACTGATGATGCAGCATCTAAGACAGAATGAACAAAAGGACATTCAAGGAAGATGCAAAAAGTATTGTCACCTCTGTCCAATTGTTTGTTGGTTGTTTTGTCAGCAAGGTTACACAAAATGTAACGCACATCAGGCATATTTATGGGACTGATATCTATGAGTGCGTGTGCAGGTCCAAATAAAAAATCAGGATCTCGTAAATTTAAATAAGGTTTCATAAGGAGACAGTTGGGCCTTTGCTTTAGACAGTTTTGACTGTAACCAAGTTTATATTCACTTAATTGTAAAATAATTTTTAAACTACCCAATAAGAGTGTTTCTACCTCCATTCTGATAACAGGAGTTTCTGTCCACTTGGCAGGTGTCTGCAAAAATCTGTGCTCTCACCTCATTATTTGAAACATCAGACCCTTTACATCTTAGGACTCAGCTCTGCTTCAGTTTGCACAACTGTCTTGGCTCAGCTATGATTCCTCACTCTGTAAATTAAAGCTGAGGCCTGGCACTTTGACCTGGTTGTAAATGTTTCATGTCTAATCCAAGGCCTCCAGTTTGGAGCCAAAACAACAACAAAAAAATGTGTCACTGTCCAAATACATTGAGATTACACTGTATGTTTTCCTAGCTATCCGGTCACATGCTGTTCCGTATAATCCAATCTGACTCCTCACTCCCTTCATCCCCCAAACACTCACAATCCACCTGTACGCAGTCACGCTATCAAGTGAGGGAGGAGAGAAAGAAAGAAAAGGGGATTAAACGAGTGTGAGAGGTGTGACAGAGAGGAGTTTAAAGACCTCTGATGCTTCCTGTCCTCTCAGTTAACTCACACTCACTCCTCCTCTCAGGCCTGAGGGTTGAATTTCAGCCCCAAACAAATGCACAAACACACATGAAGTATGCACACACACACACAGTCTGACTCACCCATTCACTTTAATTACACAGCACACCAATGAGAGCAGGCAGGAGAAATAGAGAGGGGGAAGGGAGACTGAAAACGAAGAGGGAGTGATTTCCCTCTCATTCACAAAGATTTGCTCACCTCTCTCTCTTAAACACACACACACACACACACACCCATCACTCGGCCTCCTGAGGCCTCATTGTGCATAATTATGACTCACAGCCCACACTGTTGTCACCCAGAATGCACTGTGTTATTACACAGATTCACAACAGAGATGAGACATGTGACCTCACACCTGACTCTGCATGTATCATCGTGTGCAGCATCCTTCTCCATTTTGTGTTATGTACGTCGCTCTGCATTATGACAAACGTGGTTGTTATGACTCACACAGTGTGTAAGCTACAGCCTCTGCATCATACAAATATGCACAAGTCACTGGAGGGCCATCAATTTTCCCTGAGCAGGCAGAGGAACTAAAGCTGCCACCGCTGAACTTTCACTGTTTACTATCACAGATGTCTGTGCATTCTTGTTTCTGCCCCATTAACAAAATCTCGCTCATGAAACGTGGTTTACGATTTAACTCTTGCTTGCAACATGAATGTGGAATTGATGGCAGGCAATAAAACATCACAGCTCTATGCGGCTTTTAGTAGAAAGACTCAACCTTGTGTTTATGTACTACAAAATCCGAAGTCTGGCTTCTGGATTATATCCAGTCCCTAAAGTGCTTAGTTGTTGTTCTGCACAAAAGTGGATATAAAAACATTTGTCATTA